AAATATATCACATTTTCCACAAAATATTAAGTAGCACAACTGTTAACCTTAACCTGTCAACCTTAATAATGTTTCTTGAGAACCAAATCAGCATATTATAATGATTTTGGAAGAATCATGTGATGATCATGTCATCTAGAGAAAACAAAATGCAAAGTATTGAAAATATAACTTTTTTAAATCCATCATGATCCAAATATCAAAGCCAACGTGAGGGCTGTACGTGCCTATAACAATCACTATTGAAAATGAAAGCAAAATGCCAAGCACAAATATTTCATTTCACGACAGCAGCCACAAATAGTTGCTAGCTTTTATTTTGAGAAAAGTAGACTATAGCAGAAACTGCTGTCAAATTTAAAGTTCAGACATTTTTCTCAATGTGGGACTGATGTACTGTAAAATTTTTAAATAGATTTCTATCGGTCAGAAATGAATGCAAGTGCAACATTTTAAATACTTGCAGTGATAGTTAGACTCCTAATATGTTATATATGATATATGCTGTATGATATAGTGGGTCCAGAAGTCACAGAAAATCTTGAGTGCGGAATAAATTATTAAATTTTTGTGCCAATTTCTAATGGGGAAAAAATGCAGAAAAAGAAGTATTTCCAAGACAGTTGCATGACAGTTCATAAGAATTTTATAATATGTTGAACTGGTTGCAAATGTATTTATGCATGGTGAAATTTTACAAAGTTACTATAAAAACATTTTCTGTTACAGATTTGGTTCAGTTGATACATATTAATATTTCGACTCACACACACGCCACAGATAAAGTTACATACTGATGATCTTTCTGAAGTTCTGCAATGAGACCTCATTATCACAGTCCCCTGGTGGGCAAACTTAAATCTTAAAGGAAGAAGGAGACCATCTGGAGCAGTGAATTAGTCCGTAAGATACATACTAAACCTGCCTAAATTCTATTAGTATTTTTTATTTATTATTTATTTATCCAGCCAGCAATAAAGACAGACAGACAGACAGACAGACAGACAGACAGACAGACAGACAGACAGATAGATAGATAGATAGATAGATAGATAGATAGATAGATAGATAGATAGAAGGCAATACATGGCAGTTCAGAGCTGAACTGCCTTTCATGCATTTCTCATGAAAATGCATATAAATAGTACGACAAATAAAAAAGAAAACTCATGGTATTGATACGCAAAAATGGACTTTGACGTGCATATAATACGCAGTTTTCGTGTGCATCTACCCCACAACCCTAATCCTACTCATCGCGTAGCATATATACACCAAAGTCCATTTTTGCATATCAATACCACGAGTTTTCATTTTTATTTGGCATACTATTTATACGCACTTTCATGAGTTCGGCTTAGCAGTTCAATGCTTTTGCTACATAAATTCACCCAACCTTTAACACTGCAGAAAAATGAGTCATCCACAAATGCCCTGTGTATGCTTCACTCACCTTTTAGTACATTTTTATGAAAGAAGAGTCTTGTATGACTCCCTCATTTCTGTTCAGAAACCAACTACTCTGCATGCAGTTGTTTAGGCCACTGTCACGTTGATTGTGGATCTCTAGAGTGATCGGTGTCGACACATTGCCACACTTGCAGAGAGGGACCATCTGTCTGAGAGGCTAGAGAATATGTTGTGTTTCTTGAATTGTTCCTCTTAAAATGCTCTGGGCATTTTGTCCTTCTATAGGAAGTGAAGCTTGTTATGAAATAAGCGCTGCTGTCTTGAGTGAATTGATTACTTATGGTTGATGGTAGAAAGTGGAAGCATGTGTCTCTGAGAAGACTTATGAAATACTTATAAATTTAATTTTGTACAGAAGCACTATGTCCATTCAAATGCTTTGAGGCAACTTCCAAAAAATTGTTTATATTCTAAAATTAAAGGCTGGAATACACTGCACGACTTTTAAAATCGGAACAGATTTTAAAACAGGGCATCATACACTTACCGACTGGGGATCATCCACTACCAGACTTTAAAGTTGTTCCGATCACAATAAACTCAAGCAGAAATGTGCACCTTGTTGATAGGAGACACATGACAAATGAAAACAATACGTTTTCTAAATTCAGCTCAAAATATCAAACATGTTTGATATCCTCTGACTGGATGGAAATCTGTCAACTCAAATCTGCGGACTGGCTCTGACTTTAGGCAACAAGCATCAGCTTCTCCAGACTGCAAATCAGGGGAAAACTGGGGCAAAAATCATGTAGTGTATTCCAGCCTTAAGTTGCATGATTATTGTAGGTAAAAAGGGTTTACGGTTAAAATGTTGTAGAGGAAATCACTCATTGACTTGTCTGAATATATCTATACACTGCTAGACAAAAGTTGTAATGTTTTTTAAGAGTAGTCTCTTATGCTCAGGGCAGTCGCAAGGGGGGTTTGAGGCCCTGTGCGAAGTTGAGGTGCGAGGCCCTCTGCAATTTGGGTGGGGGTGGAGGGGTTACTGTAATGAACACGGATTTCTAGTGTATTTTCTTGAACTTCCCAGGTAATGTCTATGGTTTGAACCATTTCAGAGGCGGCCAAAATTAGAATTTTAAAATGAATAAAAGCTGTCTACGAACTTGAGACTTTGTGTGTTGCCGTGCTCACTGACATGAATGCGTAAAAAACACGGTCACATGCACACGCTCATTTTTTATTATTTCTTTTCATCATTCATTATTGTTGGTCAATCTTTACGTCTCTCTGTGGGTTTAGCAAATATTTAACGAATGAAATGTATTAAAAATAACTTCTAACTAATCCTAACTGAAGCCTGAATGAAGTGCCACACACATTTTGGACTTCTGTCTCTGCTTGTTTGCAATGCAAGGGTAAAAAAAAAAAAGGTTTTATATGTACAGCATTTTCTTTACTCAATAAAACTATACACACACACACACACACACACACATATATATATATATATATATATATATGAGTTTGAGGAGCAGAGTATCTATCATTTGTCGTCAGTCATAGAAAGTACTAATTAAAAAGTCTGTGCGTAGCATTTCGTCTTTAAAACATGAGCTCCAATAAACTTTATAACATGTAAGTTGATGAAAACATAATGCGATGCACTTACTGCCTCAGATGCGGCTGTTCTAATATGACGCTCAAAACACATAGATGTCTGACATTCGCTGGTTAAAAATCAACTCCACTTGAGCTTGATTTTGGTGTTAATAATATAATGACTATATAAGCCTATATAAAGCCACTATATCAACTTTGACAACACAGCTTTTAATTATTTAAAAAATGCAGGTTTTTTTGCATTTCCTGAAAGGTTGTGGTTTTGAACATATACGAGGTTTCTGCCCGACAGTGATTGTAAGCTCTACGGCATACTACATTTTTAACAAGCAGAATAATACATCATCATGATACACATAGTCTGGCTATTTGACTTTTAGATATTTAGCTATAATAGTTTTTCGAAGGACAAAAACTTTAAAACTATTGGCTTTACATCAAGTCAGCTGTCACTTTTCCTGCGAGGCCCTGTGCGAGATAGATAGATAGATAGATAGATAGATAGATAGATAGATAGATAGATAGATAGATAGATAGATAGATAGATAGATAGATAGATAGATAGATAGATAGATAGATAGATAGATAGATAGATACACTCTTAAAAATAAAGGTGCTTCACGATGCCATAGAAGAACCTTTTTGTCTAATTGGTTCCATAAAGAACCTTTAACATCTGAAGAACCTTTCTGTTTCACGAAAGGATATTTGTGGCGAAAGAAGGTTCTTCAGATTACAAAAAGGTAAGAAAGAGATGGTTCTTTAAAGAACTTTTGATTGAATGGTTCTTTGTGGAACCAAAAATGGTTCTTCTATGGCATCGCTGTGAAGAACCTTTTAAAGCACCTTTATTTTTAAGAGTGTAGATAGATAGATAGATAGATAGATAGATAGATAGATAGATAGATGCTTTGAGGCAACTTTTTTGAGGGTTTTCCTCCTTTATATTTTTTTGAATAGTTATTAAATACCTACTCAGAATGAGTAGTTTAAACAGCCATGTTAACAATTAGAACAAAGAAGTAGTTTAGATTTTCAAAACAATCTCTTAAAAAGTAGCTGCGTGACACCCTTGATTTTAGCTACTACAATTTTCCTGTCATCCTCTCGGTTCAGTCCTCAAAAATATGGGTTATTTGATTTGTGATTTTGTGCAACAAAGCTCAATTTTCTCTCTCGAGGGCTCCTTGAACAGTCGTGTTGAATGGCAGAGGCTGCATCCACAAGGCAATCATTGAATGTCGCTCACGCATTGCATTACACTCCACACAATAGCCGCTGATTTGCGCGCAGTTTTTGGCGCTGTACTGCCCGGCGCGAGGACTCGTCTGCCGCTGCTACAATGACAATAGCGCGCGCCTTTTTTCAACTTGTGCCTGATCTACAGCCCAGCAGGCTCTAAAAGAAAACCGAGCAACGGTCCCACTGGAGGGAGACTTTATTTTCTTCTTTGATTTTTTTTTTAAGAAGACTGTGTATACTCATACTGTACTGCACTGAGGAACCACAAACATCTATTCACGCGCAGCTGGAGAGACATTTTGGCAGGTTCATTAGCTCTCGACTTCTTAAAGTTTGAGACAGCGGGTCAGTGAGCGAAAAAGGTGGCTTTTCAGTTCGGATATTAAAGGCAATAGGACCTAAGAAACGAGAACGATTGAGGGCATCACTAAAGTGTACATTTCATTCATAGGTTATTTTATTCCCCCCTCTATTTCCATGGCGACGGCACGGCGCGGTCATCGATAAGCGCTCTGTCCGCGAGGGATTTTGCTGTCTACCTGGGGAGGAAATCTGGATTAACAGATGAACTGTAATGGCTAACTAACGCGTTTCTCTTTTGGACTACTGTGAACGGATTTCCAGTCCGCAGATGAAGATGGTTGTGTGTGGATACTGCGCGGCGTCCTGGAGGAGGTGTGTGGTGATGAGTCTCAGACTACTGTTCCTTCTCCCCGCAGGTCTGCCTGTCCGCAGTCAGGGAGAATCCCAATCCGATTCAAAACAGATGGACAATATCACCATCAGACAAGGAGAGACGCTCTTCCTCAGGTAGGCGGTGGTGGTTGTGCATTTATCATGCTGTCATGTTCCAGTGTCCTGCGTGAAAAGAGCATCAGAACTGTCAAGTGTTTTGCATGTCGGTTCATCACGTTTGTCACCTGATTTTTATCAGCTTATATTATAGGGTAAAATGGCTTAGTTAGTTAAGCCAAAATTAGTTAAATGTGCTTGATGTTATTCTTTATTTTAAGTTTTGGTGCACGGAGTGTAAACTATTTTAACCCAGTATAATTGAAAGCATAAGTTTAAGTGCTGCACTACTTTTTTAAATTATATTCACAACCTGCATTTCATTGCACTTTTTCAGCCTCTTTGAATTTACGAAGAACATTAAGTTGAAACTTGATAAGAACTGATATGAAAACTGATGAAATTGTGTTTTTGTGGCAAATTAAATGGGCTGAAACAAATGTTTAATTACACAATGACCTGAACATTTGCACAGTGCTGAAAATATTAGAATACATGATCTTTTAAAGCAGCCAAACGTCAGAAGGATGCATCAAAGTTGTGACATGTCAGTGCACTGAAGAAAAAACGAAACAAAAAAAAAAAACAAGAAGTAAAATGTATACTTCATTTTTCCTTTGCAAGTTTTTGCACACATATTTTTTAAGTACAATTTAATTATGGAATTAAGTAAAATCTGCTTAACTGATTTTTTGTAAAATTAGCAACGGAAATAAGTAAATTGAACGTGGCCAGATAGAGTTTGATGAGTAATTTCTACTTAATTATTTGAAGTTTATTCTGCAATATTGAAGTACAATCAACTCAAACAATGTAGCACTTAAAAAAACATGCTATTAAAGCATGTGGTTTGCTTACAAACATGTAAGTAAGCAAGTAGATGGCTTTTTATCCTTTTTAAGATAATATGCCTACTCAATATTACCCAAATGAACACAGAGACCTCAATACTTGGTACACAATACAGTGTGGATAGTGTTTGAGTATGAATGGGTCATTTTGAGTAGAAAATGAACTCCAGATGTCACAGCAAGTTACTAAACCTAACAACAAAAGCAACCATGAAACAGTTTAAATAGAACTCGAAAACAGTGGAAAATGTAACCAATTATTCATGCCCCAGTGCATGATGGGAACAAACTTACATAACTTTGATATTTACTTAAAGAATCTTTGTAAACATAAACAATTCCAAGTAAATATACTTATAATTTCAAACTTTAATTTCTACAAGCTTAAATTGAGTACTAATACAGAATTTACTCTTTTTTTAATCTTGCCTGAACTAAATGATTTAAATTTGAAATCACATTTGTTTTTCCGTAGATTTACTTCACCACAAAATCTTTTTTATCAGTGAAGATATTAGCCATTTTGTACTGTTTTCAAATGTAGTGCATTACCTTCTTTGAGGCCCAGTAGTTCCCAAGTACTTTGCACTTTATGTTCTAAAGGAAACTTCTAAAGGGGTTACTTATGTAAATAATTATTTTAAGCAGTTTGTGTGTGTTTCACTTTTATTAAGTAGCTTGTTGTGTTCTGTGTGTTTGTACTTAGCTATAGTTTGTGAATAAAATTGTCCCCCAAAGTGAGGTAAATGTGACAAAACCTCCCTTTGGGCATGTCCTCAATTGGAAACAATATACATAGCTAAGGAAAAGTGTGTGTGTGTGTGTCAGCTTTTGCCTATATTGGGGGGAACAAATGTCCCCACAGGGAAAATAAAACCTGAATTCAGCTACATTGTGGGGACTAGCTAACAACTTCAGTGAGGAAAGCAACTTAATGAACATAATAAACAGTGTCTTAATGAAAGTGTAAAAATGCAGAAACTTTTCTGTAAGGGTTAGAGGATAGATAATATCACTAAGAGTAAAAACAATAGACGTCAGTGAAAATCCCAATTATGACAGGAAAACATGCCTACTGTATATGTTTGGGTACTTGTGTTGCACACAAAAGGCCAGGCTAGTTATTTTGGTGACTAATGTATTGGATTGTCATATGTCTTAAAGAAGGGACATGAACTAGTAACCTTTAGGATATTGTCATGACTAACAGGATTACACCAACTTTAATAAAGCTTAACCTCTGTGCAGGGATAGAGAAACTTACTAATAGAGATGACTGATTGACAGTGTATTTGATACACAGTGTCTGCTGTTTGCTTAGAATATTAAACATTAAACCAGTGAAGGGTTGTATGATAAAATTGGAAGGATGCATTGAGGAATGGATATTTAAAAACAATGATAATCTCTGTTGCACACAGTGAAGACATGCGTGAACAAAACATCTGTTTTGACAGATGCAAGCAGTAAGCCATATGTACAAAAATATATTTAAAAAATCTGATTTGCTGGCCAAATTTTATGGAAAAATTAGGGATGCACCGATATGAAAATGTTGGCCGATACCGATAACCGATTATTCTTTATTTTTGAAAGCCGATAACCGATATGTTGGCCGATAAATCTATATCCAAATTGTTATATACTTTTTGAGAGCCTGATTACAAACCATTATTATGTTTGCACAGCTGCACACACATGAAGCACACACACGCAGAAAGGCACAAGGTTTCAAACAGCCGTGCGAACACCGCGCTGAATTCTCTTTTGCATCTCCTTGCGTTTTAACAGACACATACACATAAAATTATGACAAAATGCCCATCTCGACAGTCGTTCTGATAAACACAGTCAGTTATGTCTTATAGAAAACAGCTGAGAAAGAAATAGGATGTGTATCATTATATTGGATCTGAGCGTCATGTCTTAAAGGGACAACAGCGTTTAAATACCTGCTGCTGGCATTAATGCTCATCAAACAACAAAACATAGCTTTGACTGTGTTTTTAGATTAATCTATATTTTAATTATACAGTGAACACTATGCATTGTTATTTTACACGTAATTATTCCATTTCTGTACCTGAATACTACCAAACTTATTTTATTTATAACTTTGTTCTGTTGTATTTATCTATGCTTTGTTCTTATTTTTTACTGGCTGTTCACTTGACTTTAATCATGTTTGAACTTTCTTAGTTAGGTTAGTAGTTTTAGCTGTAGTATCGGAGAAGTACTTAGCTTTAAGTAATAAATGGAAAGGAAACTGAAATATTTTTTTTCTTACTGATCAGAAAAAAGATCTGATCCGTGACTAAAAAAACGGTAAAAAAATTAGTTTTGTGATTCGTTGAACCACTGATTTTTAATTAATTACTCAATTTTTTTGCTTCAGAATGTAGATTCATGCAATCAGCATGCCCTAAACATTCCCTGAATGTTCCCTAAACAATTCCTAAATTTTCCAAATGTGAAAAATCTGTCTTGATTTTAGTAATATGGCAGTTCATTCTATAGTAAGTTGGAACAAATTTTGGTTATTTCATGTAATGTTTGATAAAAAATGTTTCCTTGCTTCCAGCTTCCTGTATTTGAGTGTTAAATTAAACCTGTCCGCAAATATATTGGCTTATTTAAAATTCCGCCAAAGTTTTAAACCTCCATTCAGATTCTACGATGGGTGCAGCAGTTTCACTGATTCAGTGATTACAGTCATTGTGACAGCTGCACAGTTTACAGTTATTGGTGTCATCATACTCGACCACCCAAGGTGATGTTTTCAGTCATATCTCCCCCTCAGGTGAACATTAGCAGAAAACTAACTCTGGCAGTTCCAATTACTCTTAGGCCAAAAACATAAGGGTATTACATTAAAATAAGATTCATTGCGTAGGTCATCAGCGGCAAAGGCTAAATTAAAGCCCTCTTACAGAATTATGTGACAAAAATTGAGGGAGTTTGAGGGCAGTGAGTGGGCGTTGAAGTGCCGAACTGAAAGTGATGTGACATGTGGCCAAGTATGGTTACCTTTTATCCCATCCTAAGTGCACACACACAGCAGTGAACACACACACACCGTGAACACACACCCGGAGCAGTGGGCAGCCATTTATGCTGCGGCGCTCGAAGTTGGGGGTTCGGTGCCTTGCTCAAGGGCACCTCAGTCGTGGTATTGAAGGTGGACGAGAGCGCTGTACATTCACTCCCCCCACCTACAATTCCTGCCGGTACGAGACTCAAACCCGCAACCTTACTATCATGCATTCGACTCTCTAACCATTAGGTTACGACTTCCCACAAAGAGAAGGACTGTTATTGTTTAAAAGGTGAAATTCATGAGCTACAGAAGTACAAAAAAGAAAAGACACAAGTAACAATTAAAATAAACAGCCGCTCATTAACAAATGTGGTTGTGAGGAAACTACAGGTCACAGATGACAGGTCAGTAAGATTTTAGGATGGTTCAAGCAATTAAAAGAAAGCAAGTTAATGAGGAATACAAAAGAAGCATGATTTCACTAGTGCTGTGAGACTTTAAATCCTTGCTTCAGATGTGCAGTGAGTAAAGCCTGTTTTCCCTTGAGTGTTGTGATTTCCATGTTTGAAAATCTGTTAGGAAAGGGACTAGGATGACAATAACTTTCTTGACAAATACCTGTTTTGTTTGTTGCAAAAAATAAATTAACTGTATCATATGAAAAAAAAAAAAAGAAAAGAAAAACTATAGGGTATAAACCAACAATCGAAACGCAAGCAAACTTGTCGAACTTAATGAATTTCAACACACTGCTTCCTCTCTGGACACAGTTGCCAACCTTGCTATTTCAAAGCTGAGTAGATACGTCCAGCCTACATCAAGAACTCGGATTGATGAGTAAGATAAGTGGTTTATATTAAAGAATTAGACTTAATTAATCCTGGACCTTGGTGTTTGAATGTAGTCACCTTGGTGTGTATGTTTAGAGTCTAGTGGATGGGAAAGGCACTCATTTTTCCACTTGTGGTTGTTGAAAGCCCTTTGATTTATTGGTGTGCTGCTTTCATAGCATGTTAATACCGCCGAGAGCTGGTACAAAGGCCTTGTGCTACTTGTTGAAACTCAGAGCAGACAATTTCCTCTCTCCCGGCATTTTCACTCTCAATGTGGAGCAAAAAACATCTCTGAGA